AAAGAATAAAAAAAAAAGAGAGACAGGTTGCTGGAGTACCAACCTCTGTCTCTCAGTCCCATTCCTTTAGTTATTTCTGATCCAGGAGAGAACTAAAATATGCCTGTGATCCAGCAAGATAGGCTCAGCATCACTCCAATGTTTTATGTGGTCTCAGTTGGTGGTACCAGAATTTAAATTAGAAATCCCAGCTGAACAATAATTATCTGGACTCTGAAGCTGACAGGAAAAAAAAATAGAAAAAAGAAAAAAACCAAACCCAGCTACAGTCTTTCCCAAGAGCAATTGCCCTTTCTGGCAGGAAGGGGTAAAAATAGAGGCAGCTCATTAATATGGCTTGGCAGTGCTTAATGGCAGCTGGTCTGAAGAGTCAGATCAGTGGGTCTTTCCAGCAGTACTCCCGGACCACTGCCAGCAGGTGTTGCTGTCTTCAACAAAATGAAAAGGAGAGCGGGGGGGGATGGGGAGAAAAATATTTATAAAGAGAGAAATAGGTGTGAAAAAAAATTAGTCACCGAGTAAAGCTTTCATTAGGCCTTTGGTAAAGCTATACACAAACTCCCTGAGGCAATAAGGAGCATGCTCTGAAATGAATAATGCTTTTCACTTCTCCTAAACTCCTTTCAGAACTTATCCTGCGCTATAAATCACATACATGCTTGCCGTGCTTCACTCGGTAGCCTTCTCGTTTCGTCCCGGACCACACACTTTCTCCCCGGGAATCCTCTGCCCCTCCGCCGCCGCAGCAGCGGGAGAAGGCCGGGCCCAGCCGGGCGCTGCCCCAGAGGGAATGACGGCCACAGCCGGGCCCGCTCCGCTCTGGCTCCGGAGAGAGCATAGCTCCCTACTCCCGGGGCAGATTTGCTGCTCTCCGTAAAACCAACGCAGTGCAAGGGCTCTTGCTGAGAATATGTCTGCTGCCAAATTGCAACAGGCACTGCGCTACCAGTACGCAACAAATTTAAAAGAGTTTTAGGATGTCAGTTAAAACCAAACGCAGCCTGGCCCTGAGAAAAACAGGATTGCAAGGTGGAAAAGTCATTTGGCAAAACTTGGGTTTAGGATCCTCACGAAAAATTGAGTCCTGTGACTAACTGGGTATATACATGCTCATTATCTGTTTCTTGAAGCAAGTGTCTCACTGTCCCTGAAGAAAAAAGGGGGGGGGGGGGGGGGAATGCCGAAAAAGAAAAAAAGAAAAAGAAAAAAAAAATAAAAAAAGAAGTGCTGTTCTTTGTAACAACTGGAACCACCAAACTCTGACTGCAGAAAAGCTACTGCAACCTGTTTCACTTATTATACGCATATTAAAAATGGGAAACAAAGCAACCTATCTGGTCATATGTTTCCTATTAACTTCTGATTTTTTTCTCATTCGACCAAAGCTGTTGTGTGAATACAGCACACATACCAGTTGGGATCAACACGCCTATAAGGACACCCTGGTATCACTGTAAATTGAAAGCTTCAAATCTTTCTTTGATCCAGATCAACTATATTCCAAGATAGATTAAAGTTACATTACCAACAGGACATAAAAATATAATTATAAGTACGATTCAGGCCAAAAAAAAAATCTGAGGGATGGGGATTTTCTGGTAATCAGTGGGTGTTATGAATGAGTAAAGACTGCATGATCATGCCGTTTGTCATAAATGGTACCACATAAAGCCAGTTATTATATGTGTTTAAGAAAGGAGATGGATTTTGGATTTACTTTTGACCTTATGTGTATTACTTCTGTACTGCCTAATTGGCATAGTTATTTCTGATTTTCATTAATGTAAATTGAAATGAAAATTGCCTTTTATTTTATTCCACAAGTGTTAATACCACACTTGCAAAAAATGTGAACTGTCGCTCATTGTAATTTATTTTTAGATGTCTAAACAGTTTTTAATAGTGTGATGCAATCTGCACGTCAAGGAGCCAGGAGAATTGGACAGGAGCAATATGATTCATTTTTTAAAGAGCTTTAAAGGGATCCCTAATTTAAACAGAAGAACACATTTATTCAGAGATTGATTTTTTTAAAAAAAAATCATCCAAAGCCAAAGGATGCTTACTCAAATGCATTTTCCTGAATTTGAAAAAAATCCAAATTTGCAGAAAGATTATCTGGTATATCCTTGAGTATTTAAGAAGCAGAAAACAATTTGCAAAGTAGTAATTAAGTATCTGGCAAATACTGTATTTGAACTAGAACAGTGTTATCTTCATCTAATAATATCTATATCTAGCTATGCAATACAACAAGTTGGAGTGTATCTTCCTGACTCATAATGTTTGCTTTGTCTGATTTTAAGTTCTAGTCTTTAAATGGATACAGAAATCACCACAAGTTGATCCACGATATTTTGTCATGCTAGAGAATCAGGAGTTTCCATTAGATAATTAATTACAAGAAGTATGTCTCATACAGGAAAAACAGTCAATTGCTGATGTAACAGGATTAACCAATCCAGCACAGTGATCCGGCCCACTTTTGACAGACGTTACATGGGATGTGTACACACGAGAAGTACAGTATAAAGCTTCGCATTATAAGTACCACAAAGAGGAACTTCAGCAGTTCTTAAAGCACAATACAGCAGTCTCCTTCAGAGAGTCAGGACTAGAGAGGTAAAACTTTCAATCAGCTTTTTTCCTTTCAAACTGAAACTTTTAATTCCTGTGCATGCTGTTGCATACTGTTAGGGTTACATTGAATGAATGCATATGCAGAACTTTGCAGCTCAGGTAATTTGTAGAAAGAATCTGAGCAACCATTTCTGTATGTATTCAAACACATTTCTGTATGCATTTTTGTACATATATGTATATACATGTAAGTACAAATAAACCATGTATCAACGGTATTGGAAGCTCTCTTTTAGAGAAGAGTGGTTTTTAGAAAGTTATGCTTTAACATTAAATCTGTCATCATCATGGCATGCAAGTAAAATATGCTATACCTGTATGTAATGGAGATTGTATGCGATAACTGTACCTGTAGTATATGGCAAGCAACATATACCCCACAGCAAGAAGCCAGACATACTTATCTGCATTTTATTTTGATTTATGCCGCTCCCTTACTTTTCATCAGACACTGTTAGGATAGGTGCTATATTAGAACTATATATAACTCCTTTAATTATGTCATCTGTTAGTACATCTAATCATGAATGCATATTTTCATCTGAAATTATTTTTTCATCCAATTAAACTTTTAGTTCTATTTCAAGCTGACTTTCAGACTTCGTATAATTACAACAGACTTTGGGCTGTTCACAAGATCCAAGAAAATTCAATGTGTTATAGTGAGGTTTGTGTTACAAAGATGTGTTTATAAGAATGGCTGCAGGGTTTATAATGCTGACAGACCTGTAAGTGTAACAGTGTATAACAGTATAGTAACTGAGGTCAGTAAAACACAGATGAGGGGGTACTGTGGATGCCTTATAACAGTAAAAGACTTATAAAAGATCTTAATTGAAAAGGACTAGCAATATATAACATTTGTAAGACTTTGGCTGATTGTTCGATTACTTCTGTGTGTTTCATTTACTCTACCTATAATTCCTTGCCTGTCTCTTAACCCATGTGCCTGTAGTCATCTCATGGAAATTAGAGACCTTTCAATGCTTATATTTATAAATTACTCCTTTCCACTGTGAAATGCAATGGTTGACAGTAATATACTGTAAGTGGAATATTTGCTGGGTAGGAGGTAAGCCCATCTGAGAAGACAAAGGTGTGGTAGAGAGAGAATGAAAGGAATGAAAAGAAAGAGGGTAAACACTAAAAAAGAAGCTGCTCTAAGAAAATTGGTACAAGATAATGCCTGAAAGGGAAGAATCTCAAAATTTATACAGTTATAGCTGTCATTTTTTCATAATCAAACGTAAGCGAGTTTGCAAACTTCAACTTTGCTGGATAAGGAACAGAACGGAGAGGATACAGAATGTAAAGGCAACCTGAAGCCATGGCAGTGGCACAGGGAATGCCTTCTCACCGCACAGCAAAGCCCTCCCTGACATAAACCGACAAGGGGCTACCAACACTGGTTGAAACTTCTTGTGCTTTAGATTTCATTTAATTTCCAGTGTCCTGTTCTAATATTATGATTGCCCTCTGTGATTTAAATGAATGAAGTAATAAGTGCCTTCTAATAACAATGGGCCAAATGTAGAAGATCTTACTCAGCCTTCACTCAGACAGAATTATTATTGGCATCGATGAGGGCTTTGCCTGAGTCAGAAGCAAGTATGATTTGGCCAGATGACATGTAACACTTCACATTCAAAGCATTTTTCAGGAATTGCTTGATTAACCCCAAACCTAATTTATCTACCCAAGAACTCCCAGGCACAGACTAGCATAGAAGTAGGGTTATTATATGGCATTACCATGTCATGTCACATGTCACATGTACCAACTCCTGCTTAGGCTTTCAGTGCCTGACTGCATATTGCAGCTGAGCAGTGTATCGTGTATTATAGAGCCCTCCAAACAACAGTGCTATTTTGTGCCTGTCAGATCTTTTGCCAGTGTTGATAACCCCCAGCATTTAGAAGTGAGCAGAAAAGATTTTTTTTGCTTCTACTCCAGGCAGAATAATATTTTGAACAGGCAGGGGCTCTGTTCAAAATATTCAGAGCCCCTGTCCTCATTCCCATCTCATTCACAAGCTATTTAACATCTCCTGCTATCCCTAACAATACCAGGCAGGACCAAGAGCAAGGTGCTCGTTAAAGATTTCACTCTTTTCATTCATTCATGTTTCCTCTGTTTAGTTAAGCTGGTGATACTGTTGAAGGAATAAAACAAACAAAACAAAAAGAAAGGAAAAAAAAAAAGGGGGGGAATGACAGCTGGGGGGGAGGGGTCAAACAGAGAGGAAAAAAAAGGAAAAAAAAAGAGAGTAAATTTACAGGAATGAGAAGATCTTTTAGAAAGGGGGGAGGGAAGGAACCACGAGTAGTGATATTTGAAGAGAGGTGTGTGTTAGGGGAGCAATGAGCATAAGGAAGCCAGCCTGCCTGTTCCTCCCCCTTCCTAATCATAGCCTTTACTCACAGACAAAACTCCCTCCCTCTCTCATTCACTCACTCACTTTAGGCCAATCCGTCCTCTCTCTCTCTCTCCCTCTCTCTGTGTCTCTCTCCTACTCTGAGACAGAGTCAGAACTCTTCTCCCTGACAGCCACAAACATCTACAGCACTTATTGCATTCAGAGAGGGAACCTGCAAACAAAACTTCACAGAAAACTTTTGGTTCTTGTTCCAGAGAATTTGCTGAAGAGAAGGAAAAACAAACAAACAAACAAGCAAACTAAACCAGCCCCCAAAAAAACTGTTCGTGAAGGGGGAGGAAAAGCAGGGCCTTTTAAAAAGGGAATCACAACAACTTTTGCTGCCAGGATGCCTTTGCTTTGGAAGAGAGGATTTCTGTTGGTGCTTTGCTGGATTATAGTGAGGAGTTCCCCAACCCCAGGATCCGAGGGGCACAGTTCAGTCACTGACTGTCCATCATGTGCCCTTGCCACGCTCTCAAAGGATGTGCCCAGCTCACAGCCTGAGATGGTGGAAGCAGTAAAGAAGCACATACTGAACATGTTGCACTTGAGGGACAGACCTAATATCACCCAGCCAGTGCCCAAGGCAGCACTTTTAAATGCCATCAAAAAACTCCACGTGGGAAAGGTGGGAGAGGATGGTTATGTGGAAATAGAGGATGATGTTGGAAGAAGAGCCGAAATGAATGAAGTTGTGGAGCAAACCTCAGAAATCATCACTTTTGCAGAATCAGGTGAGTGCTTGAAAAAAAACAAACTGTAAAATATCCTTTGTCCCCAAACTGAAAACTATCCTTTCTGCCAAAATTGCAATTAACTTATTTTCTTTTCCTCAGCAATAATGTTTTCTACAAGGTTGTAGGATGAGACTGGGGGGAAGGGAGAAGGAGGAATGGGATGGGGGGGTAGGACTCTGAAGGAATTTGATTTTTCTGACTTAGTCTTGGCTACAGATTACACTTGCTAAGCACAGTCAGTCACACAGGGAGGAAGCTCTCTAACCAATCTTGAACATAAAGTCAGGCTGCAGCAGGGTCCTCCAAACTCTGCCTGTAAATACAGAGTACTTGCAGTAAAGGGCTGGATTGCAGATTTGATGGTAAAAGAAAAAAGGCTGTAGCCTTTTGGGGAGTTTATGAAGACAGAAAGTGAACTGCAAACTACTTCAGAGACAGCCCTTTCATGTAAAAATTATAGTGGAAGTTACAAAATCAGATGAAGCAGCTTAAAGTTTTAGAAGTGAGATGACTTTTTTGTGGGTTTTTGCCCTCCTTTTTTTTCTGTCTTTTTTTTTTTTTCTTTAATTTAACACAGCATCTTCAGCAATAAAGAGTTTCAGGGACTGTCAGATGACTTCAATAGAACTGGACAAGTTGCTGTAGCTGATCCAATTTGTAATGCAGACTTCTGCATACTGGAAAAAAGATTCTGCTCCTAAAACACTCCTGCCAAAAATGTAACCTTGGTAGGGTGTATTTTGAACTCTTTCACAGTTCTTTTCCCCCTAACTCTTAGGCAGTAAGAGCTCAGAATATATGTGTTTAGTAAGTAAAGTCTTAAGTCTCACATAAATTGCCCATAGGAAACAGCTCTAAAGTTGTACTTTGCTGTCTTGTTCCTACATGAATAGGACCAGAACCCATTTTAATTCAACGTATGTGTATCTGCACATAAATCTGTTAGTGTATGTGGGTATGCTAATGCATGCATCAATAGCAGTTACTTGCAATAAGTCTATCATCTAACTAACAGCAACTTTTTATGATGCTGTCTAGCCAAAGCATTTTTCCTGTTGCCAAGACGGTTTTAAAAGAATGTCATTGTTTTGTTTGGTACAGCATATGGTAGGCAAAGTATGCAAAGGAACTCCAAGCATTTTTGTTTAAAAGTTTGCTGCAGCAGTATAAACAATTAAGACAACACTCAGAGTTTCCAGTCCTGAAAACCTGTTGACTCAGATGTTCTGATTGCAGGGAAGCCATGCACAAGAAGTGTGCATGCTTTTAAGTGCAGACATTCCTGCTGGCTGTCTGATTTCCAACTGTACAAGGAGCCCTTGCCTTTGGAGTCCTTGTCAATATACATATTATCAGTTCTTTCAGTATGAGAGCTCAGGCTTTTCAGTTTTTCCATCCCCTCCACTTCAGAAACCAGAGAGTAGGTGTCAGTGCCAGAGGTCATTAGAAGCAGGGGTAGCTCAACATTAGTTTAGAAATGAATTTATAAAAGCAAGGAAACCTCTAAGCTGTCTACGAGTCAGATTCCCCACCTGGTTTTCAGCAGCTCGCTCTGAGCACAGTGGAACACATATGGCATGAACAGTGGTTTCTCTTCACTGTGTGCGTCGCAATCATTTGTAAACACATTATTGTCTCTCCTGAGCTCTGACACAAAGGAATTTGGAATTTGATATATGCCTACTCTGTACAATACCCTCCAACGGCGGCTCCCGAAGCCATTGGCTCTGGCAGTCACGTGAGCAGCAGAAACCATGCCATTGCCCACACACTGGCCAATCATCCTGCCACCGATCCCCGCCACCAGCCACCAACACTGTCACTCAGCCTGATTTACATAGCATTGTCCTACTGCTGCTGACAAATTACTTGAAGAGGACTTAATGCTATGGAGCTGCAGGACAGGGGCATCCACCGTGTTCTCATGCCTTCTCCTCCCTGCCACAGTTCTATTCCTTCATACTAAGATGATCCTGGAAGCCTAGGCAGGAGGGCTGCTCTGTCCATTTTTTCCATACCTGCTGCCTTTCCATACCTCTTTGATTTGGGACAAGGGTGGGACTATGAGCAACTGAGCTCTGGTTTGGGCTTATAATAGAAATGATAAATCCACTCTGTGGAGTAACTTCAGATTACTGAAGCGTATTCATCTACAGCCATTCATCTGGTAAATTGCTAATATCAGAGGATCTACCACATTTTACAGGTGCCAGTGCTGCAGCAACTTAAGTAAGCCCTTCTTGAGATCCTGTCCTCTTGTGCACTGGAAGTTACTCCTATCAAATATTGAACCAGTATCTTTTTACTGTAAAGGAAAGGGAGGCAAAAAACAAAGGCAAGTGACATGTCATATAGGAAGTATGAGTTAAAAAGACAGGAGTGGAGTATAGCCACAGCCGCCACTTTTTGTACTGTGGGAACTGGGAATAGCATGAAGAAATTTAAACACCAAGCAGGAGAACAAACATGTTCCGCTCACAGCCAGGTTAATGTGTTTCCTGCTTTTAACATCAAACTCACTCTGCCTCAATGGAGGGCAATAAGAAATCAATGAAAATGAATGAAAACATCTCATATTGTGTCAAAAAAATGTCTACAAGAAGCAAAATAAGACTTTAGGCTTCTTGTTTCTTTGTGTATGGCTTGACATAAAGCCTTTAGGGAAATGTCTTTCAGATGCCACATTAACTACTTGCCTTTATAAAAATGTAGTATTTCCATGTTTCATCAGCCATATTCTCAAACATGCAAAGAAGTGGGGTGAATGAGCAAGCGGCACCCTGTGCATGCAGCTCTGTCTTGAGACTGCTTTTTTCTAAAATAAACCAAAATGCAAACAAGAGCAGACTTCAGACAATTAAAAGGCAAATAAATGTAGTAAGCTTGTCTGAAGAACAGGTGTAGTTATGTCCAGGAAATCAGCAAAATAGTTGGCAGGTACTTTTTACAGCTAACAAATCCAGACAGATCTCTGCAAAACTAAGGACTGTGAGTTTTGGGCAAAAGTTACAAATGCACCCTACTGTCCTTTGGCACTCTTACAAGTAAAACATGAAAATTACTTTCTACTTGCATATCAAACTGAGATTACTAATGTCGATTAGTTCTGCTGTAAGGGAAGCTGTGCCAGAGTTCTGTGTGTTACTTCAAAGTCTTAAAAATAGTTTTTTGAAGAGAGGGGTCATAAAATTTTGTGACAAGCAAATCCAACAGGTTCAACAACAGAGATACTCAATACTTATAAATGTGATTGGCTACTAACTCGTTCATTATTTTCAGTAGACAGCTTATTAGGCAGTTCTGGGACTCTGCCAACTGAATTTGATCCTGGCAACTAAACTACCAATGAAATGGGTTGCTAACATCAGCCCCCGAGAAGGTGACAGGAATTATCAGATAGAAATACAGAAAGCTAAAGATTTATCTTCAAGAGAGATTCCAGGGGGAAAAAAGAGGAGTCTGCCAGCTATTTAGACCACTTCCACTGTTTTGTACCACTTCATACAGAATTCCAGGTGAACTGACTTGATCATGTGATGCCTACCTTCATGTGCAGAGGGATACATGTATTCACCTACCCTATACAACCAAGCTGGCAGTTCAGGATGGAAAAAACCCCAAAGGATGTGTCGCTTATGTATTTTGAATAATTTCGACAATTTTCATTTGAAAAGAACTGTATTTAAGGGTACAAGTACTCATGCTGAATAAAGAACGGCCACGAGAGGGCACACTCCAAAGGCTTTTTGCTCCACACCAGGCAACATTCCCGCACACTTATTTTACCTAATTGGATTCTGAATCCCAGAGATCTTTATGCTTATCTGTAGCTGCTCTGAGTGGGGATCGTTTCTCTCTTCTAGTTTATTTAAAAGGCAAGGATTCACTGGAGTGAAAAGCTGCAAGGAAAATAATGCAGGAAGGAAATAGGTTGAGGAGTAAAAGATGGATGCTAGAAGTGCTGGAAATCTAGACAGATCAGAAATTATAAATATTATTTTTTACAAGATACTGAGAAATGTGACCATGAATCATCCTATGAGATGATTTTCTCACAACATTTTTTAATGCAGTCTCCTCAGCTTTTAGAAAACAAGCCTATTTTCCCTTGTTGTTTTTTCTTCCCTCCTGCCCCCTCCCCCCTGGCATACCAAATCAAAGATTTCAGGTTTAGCAAATGAAGGCAAACTGCTTCCAGAAGAGGAAAGCCATTCTGTATTGATCTCTTTCTCTGTATCAAAAATGTGAGAATTAAGAGTGGATGGTTGGTTTAAAGAACAACCTGAGAAAGCACAGATGAATCTAGGAAAATGGGAACCAGTTTAGAAAAACATACCTGAGAAAAAGAAAGTACTGTATGTGTCCATCTCTGTGTAGCCAGGCCCACAGTTTTGTGTGCTAGTAAGGAGTATCTGAATATGTATTTGCCTCTGTGTGTGTACGAGCACATGTATGTCCTTAGATGCAGGAATCCCAGGGCAGACATGCTCCTATACCTCTGCCTGCACCCATAGCATTCCTGCAGACAAGAATGTGCATTCATGTGTTTCCTCTGTGCAGGATATATCTGCCTTGCATACATGTAAGTGATTCATGCTCAGGAATTCTTATATCTATATCTATATATAGAGATATGCCTATGAGAAGGCAATCTCATTTAATGCAACAGAGCTTTGCAACGTTGATATAGGAATGAAGCTTAGTTTACTGGAAGCAATTGGAAATTCTGTTATTCATTTCAGTGGGCCTGGGATTTGGGCCTTAGTGCTCAGAAATTAAATATTTTAATGAAAACAAACAGGCAGCCTCTGATCCACTTAATTTTAGAATTTACAGCAAATTATTACAAGTATGCACAAAAAATTGCTCTCTCAAAAAAAAAAAAAAAAAAAGAAAGAAAAAAGATGAAGCCTTAGGATTGTTTTTACCTTGGAATATTTTGCTGGTGCAAATGTTCCTAAACTTTGCTTGAGTTATTTTAGACATAAACGAAGAAA